AGACTGTCGGGCTTTTTGACGGGAACCCAATTTTCGTGGTTCAGGACATTATTGAAGAGATTCTTCAGATCTAAAGTAGTGACACTTCGGGGCCCAATATAAGTGGCCGATTCACACGTGGCCTGTCGTTTGCACTTCTCCTGACATTCTTCCCGTGATTTGCTTTTCTCTGCGGACTTGTATTTGTGTGCAATGCAATGGTTCTGATATTTTTTGCCCTTATCTGAAGACAAGACATATAATATGTAGTAAAACTTATTTTAAGACATAATATATTATATGAATGAATGACTACTTGTAGTGCAAATGCGTTTGCATTGAGAGGAGTCGTCGGCTGGCGGGGCGTCCGTTGGCGGGGCATCCGTGCCCTCTGGACTCTTGGGACGGTCGGTTGGCGGTCCCTCAGCCAACGCCATTTTAGCTTCATTAGCGGCCCCACCGGGTGTTGTCGCTTCGTCTGGTCCTCCTGTTGTCCCTTCCGCTGCTGTCGTCCCCTCAGCTGCTGGCGTTACCGCCGCTTCTGTGGGCACCTCTTCGGCCTTAAAGTGAAATTAATTTTATAGCAAATCACTTGCAATTCACTTAAAAGCATTGCAAACAGAATTTGTAATCTAAACTCCAACATAAGCCTAGTCTCGACTTAAATTACAAGTTAAACTATACCTGACAATGAATTTTATGAAAACCACATAACAATAAAAGGCCACCGAATAAAAGTGCTTTCAAATACATTGAACTGTGTTTTTATGTACACTTTTTCTGATTATTTTCACTTTTTCGACATTTAATTCAATTCACAGATTGAAAGGATTGGGNATTATTTTCACTTTTTCGACATTTAATTCAATTCACAGATTGAAAGGATTGGGTTTCGCAGACTTTGCAAACAATGCATGCATTGAAGTTCAGGCAACCATTCAATGAATGTCAACCAGAATTAGAGCTATAAGTTTACACTATCGACCGGTTTGACCATGGTATATAATTGAATGATCATGTATAACAATATTATTAATAATTGTTTCATAAAATAACATAATTTGATTTGTAAAATGACCAACGTCATATTTAATACAGTCTAATAAAGAGTTTAGAAACCATTATTGATTTAATTATATAACTTGTAACTTTGCTTTTTGTCAATCAATTAAACATTTTCGATTTATTCTTAGAATTGATCATGATTATTTTTCCGTAAGAAATTATTGTATTATTCTGAATTTGTATGGAGGTAACGTGAAGCCAAAGACTAACATGGTAAATAATTATTGATACTTAAACTAACATCAAAAACTATTAAATTTGTGATTTTTTTTTATTAATTCTAATCCAATATAAACCGGAAAAACTTTATAACAATTAATTAAAACTAATAGTGAATAACAATCAATATAATTGATATAATTTAAAACTCATTTAAATTAATTGAAATCTAAACTAATTTTTTCATTTAAAACAATTTTTAATTCATTTAATTAAAAAAATTTCTTACGGGAGGAGAGAGAGAGAGAGAGAGAGAGAGAGA